CTTCTGGCGGCTGACTGGATTATGAAAAAATAGACATTTGAGGTAAAACACGGCATACAATGGACAGCTCAGAATCAATGAGACAATTTGGACTTCGCAGATCACATAACCCTCTTATCGCATACACATGAACAAATGCAGATAAAGGCAGCCAGTGTAGCAGCAGTCTCTGCATCAGTAGACCTCAGCATACACAAGGGGAAAACCAAAGTCCTCAAATTCAACACGGAGAACAGCAATCCAATCACTCTTGATGGCGAAACTCTGGAAGATGTAGAATCCTTCACATACTTGTGAAGCATCATTGATGAACAAGGAAGTTCAGGTGCAGACGTAAGGCAAGGATTGGCAAAGCAAGGACAGCATTCCTACAGTCGAAGAACATATGGAACTCAAAACAAATTTCAACCAATATCAAAGTCAGAATCTTCAATACGAATGTCAAGGCAGTTCTACTGTACGGAGCTGAAATTTGGAGAACTACAACAACCGCCATCAAGAAGGTACAAGTATTTATAAATAGCTGTCTACGCAAGATACCCAACATCCATTGGCCGGATACCATCAGCAACAGCCTGTTGTGGGATAGAACAAACCAGCCTCCAGCCGAAGAAGAAATTAGGAGAAGTCGATGGAAATGGATAGGACATACATCATGCAAATCATCAAACTGCATCACGAGGCATGCCCTAACTTGGAATCCTGAATGGAAGCGGAAAACAGGAAGGCCGAAGTACACATTACGTCGGGAAACAGAAGTAGATATGAAAAAGATGAATAGGAACTGGAAGGAGCTGGAACGCACTGACTAGGACTGGGTTTGATGGCGAATGCTGTTGGGCGGCCTATGCTCCTTCACTAGGAGTAGCAGGCGTAAGTAAATAAGTAGGTCTCCTACGCTCATTTTTCAAACTGATGTTTTCAATTTTGTGCTAGATTAGCTATTCTACTAAGACAACATACAATATGGTATCTCTGGCTTTTACATTAGGTTTGTGTGGCTGGCATCGGACCAATGAAATGTCAGACATTAAAATATATATTTATTAGTTTTCTTAACACTTTGCTCTCTGAATGCAGTTTCTGTTCTAATAACCGGCCTTCCTTATTCTGACTTCGACTTCCCTTCCTTCATTTGGACTTACTCCACCTTGACAAATATCAAAACTCATTGTTCTTTATTACTGCATTCTCTCGTCTGGAGCCTCTGATCACTCTTCACTCTAGCAACAAGAGAATGAATATTATCTAATAATTTATCATACCTCTGTCTGTTCCAGTAAAAAATGTTAACTATTTTTTAACGTTCATATACAAGTATCTTGCTGCTCCTCTGTTTTTCTTTTTTTTGGATCTTGCTTTGAGGGCTCAGCTATAGAACTCCTGACGACTCAAACAAACTTGACGTACGTGTTCTCTCAAGGCCATAGTTCACATCAAGTCTACTTTATAACAACTATGAACTTAAAAAATTGTAATGTATAAATACTTGACACGACCAGAATTATGCCGAGATTGAATCTGATTTGTAATGTGAAGGCGATGCCACTTTGGTAAATATTTTGAAGATTGTACTTAGTGTAATACCAAAGCATAAACCTAGCCATTAACGCTCCAAGACGTCTTCACGAATGTAATGTTATTCACTTTTATTGATTATATCTATTGAATGACCCTACTTGAGAAGCATACTGTGAGCCAGCAAATGTTGTAATTTGTAGATCATGCCTATAAAAATGGCGTGTACCTGCCCTTGCAGAAATATATCACTAGTATTAAGCTTGTAGGCTCGGTAATAGCTATTTTCGTTAGTGTGAGCTTCGAGAGGATCTATCGTACGCAAATGGAGGTAGTTTCTGTACATGGTGGCCATTTTTATATGGTGGGTTGGTACTGTTGGTTATGAAGAAGTCTCTCACTGAGAGTAATTACAATTGTGATCCTGTAGAAGAGAGATTATATGTGAGTTAGAAAACTATTATCTGCTTACTTGCTGGTAATTCTAGACTTTAGTGGGTGAGTGAAGTGACCAGTACCCCTATAATTTTTGTTAATCTGCTCACTAAAAGGTTGGTCTCACTTATTCCTACCACCAGTTTTCTTAATAAGAGGTTTTGAGAGTAAGCTACATGATATCATTGGGGAGAATCTGTTCACTGTTGCTGGGAGAGCTATCAAGACGTTGGGTTAAATCTTACGTATTTACATATTTGATGTCACGGATTTCTTTCTCCCACGTTTTTTTACTAGAGCCAGAGAGTTACTTTTCGGGTCATCCTGTATCGGAGGTCTAGTTTTTACTTGATTAGGTTTAGTCGGATGTGTGTCTTCACACAGCTTACATTCAAGTACATTACTACGCAAAAGAACTGGACTGGAATTAACAATATCATTATGTTTTCCGGTGTCGGCGGGAGTCCGTACCTGATTCAAAGATTTCTGATCCCAGACTCAGTAAGAGCTACAGAGAGTTCTGTCGTTTGAGTACTCACATGATACTTATCGTAAACATGCTTCAAACTGTTTGCAATATTGCAAATTGTCTCCAGTCGGCTATGTTCCACAACACGACCATGAAATCATACTGATTCACGTCTTTTTACACGACCTTGACAGTTCTTTGGGTTGAGAGTGACTCATATGTTCTTGGTATTAATGAGCTAATATTTTCACTCAACCTGATAATCGGCATGGCATCGTAACATCAGATAAATCTAAACATTGTTGTGGCGTGTTGATTTTTATGATTTTTTCTAAAGTCAGTAAATTGGCAGTTGACGTTCACTGTACCCCATGCTTGAAGGTAAGTGTCCATTAACTTAGGTGAGAGTGTGCACTCAGGGAGATTGTAAACGTGAGGAGTGCCAACTGGTTATGTCTACTGTTAATTTATTGTTAAAACTGTGTTGACTTTTCAGTGTACGTGGATGTTGTACCTTTTATGTCAACCAGTCTTACCGTCGACATACCTTACGAAGGGATGGGCGGGTCGTCATATGGAGGATCGGGCAGGGATAGTGATGTTTGTGAATAAAAACGCACATAGTTCAAAAGACAAAGGTTTGACATTGTCAGGTACTCAATCGTCAAACATAGGTGTTACATATTTTGACCTTTTAGTTGGTTTAGGAGAAGCTGGTGATATTTCTCTTCTACTGAAGTTATTGGCTGTAACTGGAAGCTGGGTGAGTAGAAAACTTGTTTAACTAAATAGAATATCTAAGTATATAGTTATTGTTAGATGTTAACTAGCTTAGTTCAGTAATCACTGCCTATGGATGTTTCGTGCCGGTAGGTATTCCTCGTTCTATTGATAAAAGAAATTAGATTAGTAGTGTGTAGGTACTTATTTAGACCGTGGCACAGGACACAATGAAGAGCCGGGTTATCTGTTTAAACACATAAGGCTTTTCAAAATCAGATAATGAGAAAAATGATACCTATACAAAATAAGTAGGTGAATGAATGCTTGAGCCCTATTGTTTTGACATGTGTCTACATGATTGAGGCTAACCCCTAACTCAACACCTCACTGAACTCACCAGACATCGAAATCAACAGCGGATTTACAAATAGACTGAATGTGTCCCATTTTATCTCAGTAAAAGCTTTCAGGAAGACGGAACGGTAAATAATGAATTTACCATATGACAAAATCTTACCGAGCTTATGCTCACCTTTGTTTACTGCTTTTCAGTCCTTTAACCAATTGTTTCCTATATTTTCACGAGAATTAGGATTAACAACTACCCATATGACGTTTAGTATGCATCGGTTTAGGACACCTAAGTAGTGAACTGGAAAACTTGGTGTGCTGGAAGTGGGTTGTGGACATTCTTTTCGATAAATGCTAGGAGTTGAGCCACAATTTTATCATCCATAATATTATTCCTGATCATACTCAAAATTTTAAACCTTTCCATGTACTTCTCGAAAGCTTCAGAGTTTGAATGTATATTTAACTGCCCAATCACTGGCCACATTGTGACGGCAGCATGGTAATTAGAAGTATTAGAACTAATGAGAGTACATGAATAGCAACTATCACTCGAATTTTTATTCGAATCGAAATCACCTTACATCTTCTTGACTATCACGTACGCCTGACATTTCCTTTTCTGCAAACACCTACGATCAAGACACTTAAATTACAATTAAAAAACATACGGAACACCTAGTCAACTATCTCATCATTATAAGGACACTCTGGAGCGTATCCAACGGTGAGCCACGAAATCAGTCCGGCGACTCAAATTCTAGCCATACGAAGAGCGCTTTCAATCACTAAATCCTTACCCATTAAAGTATAGGCGTTTTAGAGATGACCTTCTGATGGCTTACATTATCATCAACACTCCTGGACATCTTCTTAACCATCTTCTTGAGTTTAGCTACTATACAAACCTAAGGGATAACACCCAGAAACTAGAGACACAACATAGCATGACGGACTGTGGACACAATTTCTACTCCTTACCAGTTGTAGAATGCTGGGATTCGCTGCCGGCTGAGCTAGTCCAAGCGACTTCTCAGGGGCTCTTGAAGAGGAAACTTGACCTATTCTTAAGGACTAAGGATTATATCGTACTATGATTTACCAACTTCTTTTTCCTCAATTATCGTTAATAAACTTAGGTTCCTGCATGAAGGTATTGGTGATCCACTACTGCTAGACACGGTAGCCCGTCAAACGAAAGCTTCTTCTATTCCGTCTACAACGAATTGAACCATTTGGACATCTTTTCACATCTGACGTTAATAGTTAGGATAAACAACCTCACCGGCTTATAGCGACCATATCATTTATAGTTCTAATAAGAAAATGTTTCCAATCTTCTAGCCGATGTGATTTTTTTTACTCCATATTCTTGCCAATCATTATTGTGTGTGTGATTGTATGTTGTTTAGACCAAGTACACGAATGAACTGAGTACAAGTGGTGTTTTCAAATATACATATGTTTCTTGTGGTTTGCGCGGACACCACATATTTTTTCAGTGATGGTACATGGGTCTCCGACAGATAACGGAGCCTGGAGATGGGTTGTAGTTTTTGGTGCATTCATTTCGCACTTCATAACTTGTGGCTTTGAGAAGGGATATTCGATCATTTATGTCGAAATCATACGGGTATACGGTACAAGTGCTGCGATGGCAGCAAGTCTCGGAGGTTTCGCATCAGCAGTTCGTTTACTATTAGGTTTGTTCATAATTTTTATCATTCTTTTAGCTCCTTTGTCGGTTTCATTGAGTAATATTTATTCTGAACAGAAAGTAGTAATGGCCGGTGGGATACTAACGTTTCTGGGTCTGCTCATATCAGCATTAAGTGACCATTTCGCCCTTGTTTTCATCGGATATGGAGTTATATTTGGTAAACTTGATAAATAATTAAACTACTTTAGGTTTCGGATTAACTCTTACATTTACACCCTCACTAGTCATATGTACATATTACTTTCACGAACGTCGTGCTACCGCTCTCAGTCTTTCTCTAGCTGGATGTGGCTTTGCCACAATGATTTTGCCGTATTTTTTCTATTACTTGATTTCTCAATATGGACTCTCTGGAGCTCTGATAATGCTTTCTGCTTTCAGTTTGCATTATTGTGTTGCTGGTGCTTTATACTTCAAAAAGAACTTCGTAAAAGAGACTGCTGAATCCAAATTTGACTCAGAGAATGACAAACTGACTTTGCGCTCGCGAGTTTCCAGGTATCTCTGCTTGCTATTGAGGATCAAAATTGCATCTGGAGTATGGGTGAAACTGTTTTTATTTTCATTCATCTTGAACATGATGGGCTCAGGCCCAGTCACAACCCTATTAATCGATTATTCGAAGCAGCTAGGGGTAAGTTGAGTTTCTTTTCTTTTCAAGTGATCATTTTAGGGGGGGAAGCTTCCCAGTTATAATAAGCCCTGTTTTTCCTATATTTACACTAGTGTGTCCCAGCTGTTAGTCTCAATAGTAAAACTCCATTGAGTTCCACTCCTCAAAAGGGCTACATTTTGGGTGTTTATCTTCATTGCTGACAGTTCTTAGTTCTATCATTCTTTGATAATGGTAGGTTGTCCGGATCATTACTTAAAGGCATCCATCACAGGCTTTTCTGGTTTCTTCATCCTTTCAAATCATTAGGTGTAATGAAATCTTTAGACGGTGCCGGAGAGGTGAGAGGCCATATGGTTATGTGCTAACAAAATAGTTTTCGCTTGCATTGTAAACTTTCACTGTTATTATCATACCTATAATCAGCTAGTTAAACTCAACCTGTGTCCTAAATGTTGAATGTGAATAAATGATTATCCCAGGACTAGATTACCAATAATTCAACTGTCCATATCACGAAAGTTGATGTCTAATTAAAGTGGCTGAATGGGGAATTGGAACATCAGTGGTTTGTGCATCAAACTACTGCTGCTACCATACGTTTAGGACACTCGCGAAGATTCATTTGTAACGGCTTCGTTTCATGTTTTGAGAAACCTTCACTTGCTCAGTAAAATTGTAAGATAACCCCACCTATATCACTACTGAAATTGACACACTCAAACCGTCTACAGCCGTTACAGCAGACTAAATTACTACATCACTATATAATAGTTAATACGAACCGAGCGATAAAAGCTCAAGGAAAGTAGGAACTTTTCAAAAGACAGGACTATTGGCCGACAAAAGATCTAATAAAGTGATGCAGTTTCTAATGTAAACATTTGCAGGACAATTTGAAGTCTCAAACATATAGGAATGTAGAATAAGAACTTTCATACTTCACTTACAATAAAAAAGCGAGTAATTTTTCATATTCAGGCTTGGATTTTAAATCCCACACATACTGATTAACTCTATGACAGAACCAAAGAAAGCTGTACTTGAATAGAGTACCCAATCTCTTTGGTTATCTATATTTTTTATGGGTGAAATTATGATTTCCGTATCATCACTTTGTATTTGACTGTGTTGGAAAATAAAGCTAGCCACATCAAACGAATCACCGTCATACAATTTAAACTACATTTTAATTTCGACTAACGTACTTTGAAATGTTTTCAACTCAAAATCAAACCTTCCTATTCAAAATATATATTCAACTGAGTATTTCTTCAATTCTGTGTTACCAGAGTTATAAAGCTTGATAATAAATAATTAATTAACTAATTAATTAATTAACTAAAACCGTTCTGAAATTAGATTATAGCCAGTTGAGTTGTGGTGAATTGCGGAAAATCTAGTTTTTCCCAGTTACGTCGATGCCGATTTGATTTTTATTTGTCTTGTCTTCAGTTTGATATTTACAAGGTGGCGGCTAAGTCTAACATACAGTCAGTCTCACCTAATACCATTGAGGCCACTGAAGAGAATTTTTGGTTGTCACACAAACCAAACGTCTCAGCCCAGCACATTAACTTGTATGCGATTGCTGGGTTGTATTTGAGCATTTTGTTGTTTCTATCTATATTAATTTCTTATGGTTTCATCTATTTTTCTACATGATATACCGGTAGCGCACTTCGTAAGTTTTTAAATTGTTAGCCAAACGATATTTTGATGTGATAGTTGATAAAGAGAACTTAGTGAGTTTTCAGTAAACAAATGATTGTATTTATTCTTTTATATGAAAACGTAGTTGTGCTTGTAATCATCCAGTAAATAAACGTTTGTACCCTGTACGAGTAATAAATAGGTTCAACTGGTTTCTCACTGCGAAATCTCTAGGATTTGATTTGAAGATATCGTCTACTTATTTGTACGATTTATATTAAAGTAAAAGATCATAGCTTATGGTTGCTGATATTATTTGCATGTGTTTGCTAAATAAACCACTCGAAGTTTATATATCCACTTGTGATACAGTGGTTACAATTTCAACCATCAGGTCGTGGGTTACAACTTTTCTCCATCCACATCAGTTTAGACATTTAAGCATTGCCACCAGTCCAACACAAAAATGTGTGACTCCAAGTTCTGGACATAAACCTTCACTTGAGTTATAGCAAAATAAGCTAAATGAGTGAATACATGATGAAGTGCAGAGAATTTTAGCAAAGAGGCAACATGTTAAGAATTTTGTTTAGGAGGATTTTAAGTTGTAGCTACTTAGTATACAAATATTTTTTGAAGGCTTGGCCAAAGCAAGAAAATTTGTGATTTGCAAACGACGCCTATTCTGTCAGTAAAATAAACCCATAGATTGTAGTTACACTTTGGTTTTGTTTAGTTTTGCTCGGTTACATAGAACTTGGTAAGAATCTAATCTACATCATATGCTAAATTTCAACGCCCGAAATTCTAACTAGCATCAAATTCTGAATGCAAGAAAATGATTGCTAAGACACTATCGTAAGACTTAAAGGATTGTAGTTTTCATAAGCAAAATTGACTCGTCAGTCTACTCGCTTCCTTATATGGAAGTATTTGTTGGTAATTTAATACTAAACATCTGGATAGTCTAAGTATTCATCCATTAACGGTTAATTTCTTGCAACAAATCTAGCCATGATTTCTACGGAAAGTCTAGAATTTACTTTCTGAATTTTAAAAACAGTGTCATTTTAAATTCTTTTTAACTTTTAAGGTTATCGGCGCTCAGTCAGTACAATTACTTGCTATTGAAGGTACAGTACAGTTGGTGATGCGGATAGCTCTGGGATTCATTTTCGATTACCGTTTCATAAAACCTCATAGAGGTATTATATGGACTGGAGGAATAGCATTTTCTTCTGTAATAATTATCTTTATTGCATTTGCCTCTCAATTGAAGTATTTATCCGCTCTTATGTTTTTGCGAGGGTTATTTTTGGCTCTTTATATCTCTCAGCAAGCTGTGGTTTTATCGGATTTATGTGAAGGACAACCAGAAACAACGAGTCAAACAATTGCTATTGCACAAATCTGCAAAGGATTAGGAACGTTGATTGGATCTTACTTTTCTGGTAAGTTATTTAGTTGTACTTAATTACTTGGTTCTAGATTATCCAGGTGGTGATAAAACTGAGTCATTTCATCTTACTTGGTTTCTATGAAGTTGCTAGGACAAATATTTCATACATTAAGTTGCATATAGATTATTTAATAGTTCCCGTAATAATAATTCAGGTGGAATTCTATAGTCTATTCAGAAATTGTTGTATAGTGCATCAAAATACCAGCGCTTTAAGTGCTAGTGTAAAATTTTTCCATTACACAGAACAAGTCATCAGATAGTAATTAAAAGTTATTAAGATTAACTGCTTGTGGGACATGGATTAAATTAAAGCATGTTCCTCTCAGGCCTTTGTTGGGGCACTATGACAGTTATCTCTACCGGATACTCAAGGAAGACTATAATCTTCGTGCGTAAAATTATAAATATATTGTTTTTCTAATTGTGACTCCTACTTCTCTTTAACCTTGTTTATTTCGAATATAATTACATTCCTAGTCAATTGTGTTCTGAATTGGGGCTTCTTGAGTGAAGTGAAGTGTCAAAAGAATACTAAGCAATAAGAGTAGCTAGGTGGTAATGAGAGAGATCCTAATAGCAACATAATAAAATCTTATTTTTAAAAACAGTTAATCAATAAGTTTAAATATAGAGAACAAAATTCCTGGTATTATGAGGATTTTAAAGGCTTTTGAAATTCGGTCTATAAAATGAGAGACTTCGTCTTGCCATAGGACTTCATTGCTTCTTGTTTTAGTCAGTCCACATTTTGGTGAGTTGCGACGTTTTCATAACACCTGCTTATGACGTATGTTATGGTTAGGGTTTGTTGCTATATAATCAACTCACCGACTATCTGAGTGACTATGAAACAGAAATGAAAATTAGATGAAAAACAAATATACAGATGAGTGAATTTTGACCTTTCAAAAATTATTTTCTCACCGTGTAGTGAGAAAAACAACTATGGTTTTGTTTTGACAGAAAGAATCAGCGGAGCGAAATGTCAGTTAACAATACTAGTATTGTTTACACAATAACGATGATGTTTGTTGAATGAATAGGTTTCGAGACTATATTTCAAACTAATTGATTATCGAATAGTAACCAATATCCTTTTCGCCTATTCTTTGGCACTGAACTGCTCTTATCAACCACGTTGCAGTGTGTGGCCCCTAATTAAGTGTCTGCATATCGTGCTGCACTGTGATAGTTAAAGGAAATGGATGCTCCCCTCAAGACTACTGGGGGATGATATATAGCGCGGGACTTTCACCCCAAACCACCAAACATTAATAATAGGTCACTTGAAAATTCTTCCAATCACATATGAGGGATGAAGTACTGAGAGGCAATATACTGTAGTAAGAATATCAATTAATATAGGATTGATTTGTTGCTATCTTTTATATCTTGTATTTACCTATTGACAATTTACTACGACTTTGTTTCTTTACACTATCAAATCAATATCATATATGTTGATCCATTTGATTAAAATTTTGTCAACTCATATATTTATCGACTAAAATATTCGTTCGCTATAAAAAATCGTGCCAGAATTGCACAATCTTGGGGCTTATATTAGTCTAGTTTTTTTTTATTTTCAACTGTAAATAATTAGTGAGTGTTCGTCGGTATACATTGTTGACAATTCCTAAACTAAGATAATTCATGCGTTCATTACTCCTCTGAACTAAAAGCACTACTATTTATTGACAAATTGAAATGAGACTACTACTTCTCGGCACGAATTGATGTAAGCATCTATCACTGAATCTGTTTTATTAAATACTGTTTTCTTTCAAGTGGAATGAATAACTGTAAATTGTCTGGCATAGTTCGATCCTTGAAATCGATATTATTTACAGTGCTTTCTTGTTCAAGTAAAACAATTTTTAACTATACAGATTCCTCGAAAAATCTACATAACACTTATGATATACAACAAGGACCTTATCCGTCAAGATGGGACATCCTCAGCTGTTAGTATCTAATTATACAGAATCATGTACTCTGTTTTTAGCCCCACTGTTTGTATGAAGATTGCAGAAACTAATCGACTTTCTAGACATAATCAGGTAAAGGAGGATTTGAATCAGTTACTTCTTTTAGAAATCGAGTGCTCTAACCACACTATCTGTGCTTCTGTTTGTATTTACAAATAATAGTCATTGAAACAATTTAATATGATCAATCATTTCTATATGCTATCTTTTTTTCTTTATCAGGTCTAATCAAAGATTATACTGAAGATTATCGTCCTGCCTTTATTTTCCTTGGTATAATGCAATTCATTGGTTTTATCACAGCGATTACTTCTATTATGTGGGTGCGAACAAATTTACGTAAAGAAAAATGTTTACTTGCTGCTGACAATTTATTATCTAATACTAGTGTTGCAAATGTTTCAGAAGCTTCATTATCACAACCGGTGTTAAATGAAAATGAAACCTCAAATAATAATCAACTTAGTCCTTCTTCATCTTCTCTCTTTATCCATAAGGTGATTAATGAAACAAATACACTTCAAAATCCTAAAATATGATTTTTGTTTTTGGTAGTAACATATCTTCACGTCTTACACAATTCAAGTAAGTAAACTATCTACACTATGATTATTTTTATTGAGTTTCAACAGTTAGATTTGTTGTTTCATGATTTAAGATTTAAATTCATTTTAGACATTCATCTACTTTAGTGATAATCTCCTTTCTTTTGATTAAAATATCTACTCTTTACTGAGTGGTAATTTTCTTATCAAAGTACACTATAGAGAAGAGTATTTTTTTTTCGAAGTATTGAAAGAATTTTAATGGTGGTTAAAATAGTTTAAAGAATCCATATCATAATACTATCACTACCTACTTTTGTTTGTCCTGGATTCCTAAGAATTCATAATAATTTATCAATGCATATAAATAAATAGTATATCCTAATGAGTAGAGAAATTAGATTTTCTGACGTTTCGTGACTTAGTGTAAGTCACTTCGTCAGAGAATAAATAACCAAATTAAAATTAATCCAAGTTTAAATAATACAACAGAACAATAAGAATAATATGTGATCAATCATGAGATCAATCTACTGGAGAAAGGATTAAATTTCAATTTACATAGAAAACCACTTAGCACTCTTGAAATTGCTCCAATTATAAAACCATTAATCGCACAACTACCAAAAAAAAAAAGAATCGCATTTATTACGTCAAAAGACATCCCATATTCTGACTAAACAAAAACACATCACACCAAACATTTCAAAAGAAGAACTGAAGGCTCTGTATTCACTTCAACAAGACAAAACGATTATGATCACAAAAGCCGACAAAGGCAACACAACAGTAGTCATGAATAAAACAGATTATATTAATAAAGCTCTTAAACATCTCTCAACAGAACCATATGAAAAGATCAATCCGAAAAATTCTCTAACGATCAAAAATAAAGTCAAATCAGAGACAAATCAACTTTTGAAAGAGCTAAAACCAGTCACTGGTGTCTCGCTTTGGTTTGCTCTGCATCCCAAATCATGTAATGTCTCACGGTTTTATGGTTTACCGAAAATTCATAAACCAGATATCCCTCTAAAACCGATAGTAGACTTTACCAACACACCAACATATGCGCTATCGAAATATCTTAGCAACATATTAAAACCACTACAACTTAAATTACATAATATGATTAAAGATACATATGACTTTAAATCAAAATTATCGGAACAAATTATCGAGAAGAATGAGATCATTGTAAGCTTTGATGTCGTTTCTTCATACACCAGTATTCCCATTGATAAATGCTTAGATTTCATCAGTGGTTTACTACAGAACGACAATACTCTTTCTGACAGATGTCCGTTGAGTATCAGTCTAATCATGAGATCCTTAAAACTATGCTTAAATTCAACGCTATTCACTTTTAACGGGTTGTTATACAAACAAACTAACGGTGTAGCGATGGGATATCCCGTGTCCCGGATTGTAGTCAACCTTTTTATGGCACACATAGAATCCAATATCTTCACCCCCGACATTATTCCACGAATTTGGCTTGGATATGTAGATGATACATTTGCTGTGATAAAAAAGACTCATCTAAGATCTTTTTCAAAACGGATAAACACACTTTCATCTCACATCCAATTCATGAAAGAAGATGAAAATGAACATGGCGAGCTACCATTCTTAGATTGTTTAGTGAAAGAAATCAAAATGGAATTCTAAATCTATCCATCTACCGAAAGCCTACACACTCTAATCTCTATATTGACTTTAATTCAGCACACCCATTCAGTACTAAGATCTCACTAGCCTTAAATCCTTTTAGAAGAGCTAACAAGATCATCACATCAGAAGACAAACAAAAAAACGAAAGACTATAATTAGTATCTTACAATTTAATAATTTTCCTATGAAGATTATCAGAAGTATATTAAAACAAGACGGTCTAATGCGTTATAATAATAATTCGAATGAAATACCATGGATTGGTACTGCAGTTTTGCCATACCGTCATGGCACAACAGAAGAACTCCAAAGAATCTTAAAACAGCACAAAATTAAAGTATATTACAAAACAACGAACTCACTTCGAAATAGTTTAGTTCGCTTAAAAGATAAAATCCCTTCCATATCCACACAGAACTGCGTCTACAAATTAGGCTGTATCGTTTGTGATGCCTTCTGTATTGGAGAGTCATCTCGAGAAATCTTGACTAGAGCCAAAGAACATATTAGGCACACAAAGAAACCTCCTAACAATCCTGTAGAATTAAATCAACTTCAAATTAAATCAGCAATAGCAGTTCATGCCATTTTCAACAACCACCAAATTGATTTTAAAAACATCAAAATATTCCAAAAAGGCTTTTCCAAGTACAAAGAAAGGAGGGTAGCTGAAGCGTTCCATATAATGCTTAATCCTACTTCTCTCAATAGAAAAGAAGGCCTTACCATACATCCTACTTGGACCATCTATCCTAACCATTCAGTCTGATCGTATTTACAATTTCACACTATCATATTACAAATTATACTCTATCCGTTCTCACCATAAAGGTCACACAATTTTTTCATTCTTAAACAATACACACATACATACACACAAATTTACATACATATCACTTATGAATCACCTTGACCGAAATGACATTACATTAACCTGTTGAGACCTGTTTTTTGATTGATCACATATTATTCTTACATTGTTGCGTTGTATTATTTAAACTTGGATTAATTTTAATTTGGTCATTTATTCTCTGAAGAAGTGGCTTACACTAAGTCACGAAACGTCAGAAAATCTAATTTCTCTACTCATCGGGATATTACAAATATACTATTTATTTATAACAATCTACTCAATGCTCAATTTATTCGAAATTATCAAATCAAACCTTGATAATGATACCTATAAATGCATAGTTGATTTTTGAAGATGAATGAAGTAGTGATGAAAGCATATTGATATCGGAAAACATTGTGTAATTCCATTCTTATATATTTATATATAAATGTTCTTAACAAGTATATGTGTGATCAAATTGTTCGAAATGTACTACGCTAATATATCACATAGTTCTAATCATCTTCTCACTATACTATCGAAATTTATCAAACGGATTAATTGCTTCAAATTTCTTATATTTGAGTTTAAACTCTTTGGTGTAAGAAATAGAGCCCAACCTGAACGACTTTACTGTCTGTTATGGGTTAAATAATAACGACATGAATTGGAATACGATTCAACTAAAAAAATTGGTATATGGTCGATTCATCATTGACGATAAATTTACAATCTAATTATGCAGTATCCCTTAACATTTGTTAAGTGGTAGATAATAAGATTGATTAAGTTAGTATTTACTTCCTGATGTTACACTACCTATTCGAATGAAATCTGTTATGAAAATACACCTGATCAACTATAAATGAGTATATGGATACTGTCACCAATTTTTATCGTACGGCTAGGTTTGTTTATGCTCTGAAGCCTTCATTTAACTTTCTAAATAAACTGGAAGAGCCAAATTTAAATATTTCTGTCATCATCATCTTGAAGAACTTTAAAAATATTTAGTTATCCTTGATATTTTATATGTATAAAATGTGCTGACCCTTATACTTCAGGAATACATACACATTCATTAGTAATTGCTTGGTCTAACAAACTAATAATTCTTTCATTAGGTGATAGTCGCTTTGCTTAACCACCAAAAACGGAGTCATCAGTTAAACTTTATTCAGAAACTCCAAATCTTAACTCATACATTCTAAACTGTGTAAATTTGTCTTTATTAGTTTTGAAATGTGAAAAATTTCCATGTTGTGAATTAGAACAACATTGTTTGCGATTAGATCCTTATTAGGCTTTACTCTAATATACAGTATTATTTATATGCATATACACCTGTTATTACATTATCAAATTGTACTCTTTACTTACTATGTTTATTTATGTAATCTATTCCACTGTTATCACTGAATCATAGACTACCTTGATTGGTTTAATAATTTCGTATATGCATATAAATATTACTGTTTATTAGCTTTGACATTTGAATAATTTCTGCTTAGAAACCGATGTTTTGATTCAATGATATAGATATCAATACACCTTAATTATCATCAAACCAATGAACTAGATAGTACTATAAAGCTACAATTCATGTGAACATCATACTTCTAAATCGAAATCAATTTGATCGCAGTGTTTTACATTAAGTTTAATATAATATACTAACCATCTCTTATCAAACTCTATAATACACAGTATCATGTGAATATAATTTTTAAAAAAATTTGACTTATTCTGTCATTTCCACTGATTTATTGAATAGTTGACTTAAATGTTTTTCATCTTAATCATTACAATTGAAATAAGTGATATTAAAGTGTTTTATAAAATTCTTTTTATCAAATTTCCAGTCAATATTACTAATGTGCTATAGAACTTGTGAAATGTTTCAAAAATGAATAATTTTAAATCAGAAACTAAAACATTTCATGACAATTTTATAAACTGTAAATATTTGATATAATAAATTACAGGTAGCTTTTGATTAAGTCAATTATTCAACCTTAAGGTAACCTTTTGATAAATTAAACCACACACTACACCTATCAAAAGTTCCATTGTGTAAAAATGTCTCTCTTAATATGATTTGATGAACTAACTATCACATAATGAAAGATGGCTAGCTGTGGAATCCAGGACGTGCGTTTCGTCCTATTTGGGACTCGTCAGTTGGATGTACCTACATCTCAGAGTCAGCGTTCACTCTGGAACCCGAACCCAGTACCGTTCACTTCAAACGCCATCGCGTTATCCACTTAGCTACTGAGTCCTGATAGCTACTTGCTTGTGCATTAGGGTGAAGTTAAATTCATTTTGTATTGGTTGTTTGAATCTTCCCATTGATATTTGGGACTGCATGAATATCAACTCTGAGATGCAGGTAGATCCAGCTGACGAGTTACAAATAGGACGAAACGCGCGTCCTGGGTTCCACTGTTAGCTACTATCCATCTTTGCTTATAGTGCTTGTGAATTAAGGCAATATCGAGGCAATTCGCACAGTATACAAATATGCCATTAAGAGACTGATCAATTTCAGTCCTAAACATCAATGGGAAGATTCAAACAACCAATGCAAAATCAATATATCACATAATGGTTTATGTGTTTGTTTCTCACTAATCACTTAGTGTAACTTATAAGTCCAGTACTGCATCTGCGAGATCTACTGATACAACCTGGCCACCCAAACAGAAGTATGTGACATGTGGTTTAAACTTATAGCGTAATGATTGAAAGCCTAATAATTTAACCAGTAATCTATCGGAATAAACATGCTTCCACACAGTTTTGTATTACCTCTCCAAACAAGACATGTTTATGGAGTTGTTTTTGCACTATCAAAATTATACTGATACCTAATTAATCATCAAACTAACTTCATTCTTTTTATTTTGTTTCTATGTTTCTTTAGGATGGATTAATCATTTATCAACCTAAAACAGATCTGTATATGTATATAAACATTTTATTTCTGTTTATAATAGACTGTTGTGTTAATTTTATAGATTATGCAGAGTATTTCTTCATTTCCGAACGCTGTTCTTATACTATTACTCAACTATTTGCTTATTATCTTTTTTTTTCATTTTCTCATACCCGGTTATCTTTAACCGATAGTACCATATGTATATATCCTTTAATTTATCGACAAATCAACTGATAAACAATCTGAGTAATTTTTCTTATGATGAACTATCGTGTAACTATTCATTTCACTGACTTTGTTTATCCTTAAAGGTGTAGTAAAATTGTACCAGATGCAGTAGCTGTACTGCTAAAAAACACTCATCTATTGACAATTGGTGTCTGTTTTTTTTCATTAAAAGGTTAGTATATTAGATAGCGTTTCGCTATCTATTACCTCAAGCGTGTAAAATATGGACCAGCACTACGTAGAGATTATTACGTTGTCAACTTTTATCGACTGAGATGACGATGATGTATGTTACCTACGTCTACTGAGATGCTCTTTCTTGACTAGCTTAAGAGCATCTTGTAAAGAGATTTAAAGGTGGTCACTTCATAGTAACGATTTCAGTCTAAAACGTCACTGAAGACCATCATGAACTGTGTTTAGAAGAGAAAACACTCCTTGTGGTGTCAGCTAGCTAATCGGAATCTATATTTGGTAGCTTTAGATAATATGGCTCATAATTGGTAAAAGTAATATAAATTAAGGCTAAACCTCAATCATCATACTATTCTATGTTTTGTTGATTCTTTTGGACTTGCTTCCTTTCCTATTTTTATTAATTTATTCCTGATGGTATTACTGTTCGCTCATTGTTCAACTCCTTGTTAATCTATTCTTTTTATGCTGAGATGTAGTTTAGAACTTTTTATCGACAAGTATATGGTTCAATCTTTACATTTGACGTCAAATAAAGCTACTTCTGTAAGTCACACACACACAGACACAAGGTGCTTAAGCGAAAGGACCTTAAAAACCAGCCTAAGCCGCAGACGAAACGTATACCTTCTGTATAAACTAATTTCAGAGGTGTGTATGTAAAAGCTTGGAAACCAACACTTGAACAATGGCGCTTATAAACCATTATTCATACAATGTTCATTAGAGTTAAAGATATATATATCCAATGCTTTTAATGTAATTGTCTTCGTGATGATAAATTTACGTTCTAAACTTTATATCGACTGATTACCTACTACTACTTTGCGATTGAAACCAATTATCTTTATATATGCAGCCTATAATATTTGTGTTAGCAGTTTCACATGAACTAGATTGTCATCGTCCTGCTTGACCTAAGTTTCATTTTAACTGACGTTCACTAGCAAGGCCCAATTCAGGTTTCGAGGGAACTGATGTTTTTATTGAGTTGAGAACCCTTTCACAGTCAGATTTTACTACTAAGTTACGAATAATTCCCTAATTAATCCAAAATAGAATGTAACCCAAGTTTATGAGTTTCAGCCGATCACTCCTAACAACTTGATAGTAAAACAGTTCATTTAATAACCAGGTATTTAGATTAGCGACTACACTGCAGTATAGTTAATAGAACTTCAGCAATACTAGGAGTTCTACGCTACGACATTGGTTATTAATCAATGATCAACTAGTGTTCATTCGCAGGTTTATAAACTTAGTTGCCATTAAAAAAATTTCAGTTTTCCTTATATGTGCCAAAACAATTTATTTTCACTTGAAACCTGCCTTAGTAATCCTTTATCATCTAATAATCCATTAGGTGGTGTTAAAATTTTTATCCTCTCTATAACACTATTTCTCATTCTGATACTTCTTGTTATTGATTCAATTAAACTTCATCCGTTGTTCATATAAAATACTATCAAAAATTCTATTACACTGTTTTGAATGCTTCTTTTAAATACAAGAATACCATTTTGTAGATTAACTTCATCTTCTTATTACATTACCCAAGCATATAAAAAGGACCACTTTTTAATTTAATTTGTAATTGAGGCCTTTTCACATTGTCTCCAAGTTACAACCCTCTATAAGATTAAAGCGTACTACTCGTAACGACGTCTGTTGGCTACAGTGTCACAAATGATGTAATTTAATTATTGTTAACTTTTGTTCTAAGGTTGCAAAAAAATGAATGAGCACGTCTATCTAATGATTCATCACTTAAAGTTTATTTAAGTCATCTGTGATAGTTTTATGCATGCTCGCCTACACTAGTGTCTCTCATTTCTATTGATCAACGGTGTTTTGGCAACGTTTGCAATCCTGTGTTTGGTGAATTCATTCTTATAACGTTGAACATTTTAAAAAGTAAATATATCACTTACTTTTCAAAAATATCACGTTTATGGCCAATTCTAACTTATAACAATCTACGTATTACATAGCAGTTGACTGCATTTATAATGGTGTGTGTTTTTTTTCAAAGGAAAGCGTCCATTTTCTTGATTGTAACCGTAACGCTTGAAAACAAACTAAAGAATTATTATTTTATAACAACAGCAGAAACTCACTACATCTTCGACGTGAAATTGTAAACAATTTAAAAGCGAGGATTTCCATTTTCTATAATATCATTTACTGAAACTGCGCAAGTTAGTTAATTGTTGCCTAAGCTTTTTAGATATCTCTGTGATGTTTTATTCAAATGCAATGCTCAATAAAAGAGTATTTTATTACTCTTGTAGATTATTTTTCAGATTGCCTGTTCTCAACCAAATGATCCGGGTATATGGCCACTTTTTAGATTTATTTATTAAGGTTTAACTAGTTGCACGTTGATAATGACATTGGTTAATTCTTGTCTAACTCAGGAATACAACAGAGCAAATTCAGTTACTTAATGGGGATCATCTTTGAAAGTTTGTATACTGGCTATCGCAAATCAGTTTTCTATGTGGGAAGCTATCAGTACAGTATTCTCTGAATGGAGTGTAAGTTAGTCATAAGACGATCTAATAACGACCCTACTACTATACCACTAATCTGTTTATAGTACTCGTTATTCAATCCAAACGGCATTTTAAGTGTATCGTAGATGTCCTTTACTTTAAGTATTACTCAATCCCCCCTCTTTGAAGTAGACGTTGTTGATATTTTCCAGAACTATTGTGTTAGCTCAGTGAACGAAACACTACCAAAAGCATCCAAATTAGTTATAAGTTTTATCTATTATTTCATAATAGTCCGTTAACTATAGATTTCTGATTCGCATTTGTAAGAAAAATGTCTTCGTTTACGCACTGAATTTTATAAATTGTGATACACCATAAACTAGTATTTTAATTGTATAGTCACGTGAGTTACGATTCTCAGTGGTATAAACTACATGTAACCAATCACCTAACTTCTTTACTTGATAGGAAGTTTAGTAAAGTGGGAAATTCTATAGTCTCTCGATCGATCATGTTAAAATAAATGCTGTTACTGGCTTAAAAGATACGATAACAAGTCAAATTACTTTAATTCTCTATGTATGTTTAAGAAACAGCTATCTTTTTTTAAAGAAATACGCTTTAGTTAGGCAATTTCTAATATTTATTTATATTAATACTGTACGCATGTGTACCTAGTTCATTTCCCGACTATGTGATTTATTGTATAATCCAAGCAAGTCTTTAGAATATGTAACGATCGTAAATAATACACGTCCACCGTTCATCAAAGTCAGATGAACCAAATCTGTATGATGTTATATCAGCATAAATATCTAAATTCATTGTTATTCGATCAACAAACAAACGAACAATATTAATGTTAAATATTTAATGGAATATGATACACATATTATGACGCACGGTGTCTAAATGGTGATACTGAAGCACATACAAGCCTGGCTGCTATCAAGAAAATTCGGAAAGTAAGAAAGGACGTTTATATGGCTAATTGAATATAATTTTGTGCACTGATCCATATCCATACATGTCTATCCCTTGTAAAACTAAGTCTATCAGTGGATAATTGAAATTACTTAATAATCATCTCCAAACTTTCAAAGGAGGAATTTCTAACACAACAACCTTATTTCTACATGATTTATCTTGTTACTTTGCAGAATAACTAGCAATCCCTTCAGCGTTCATTTTAGTTCCTTGCTTGTTCTAAATAGAAAGTAATGAAGATTGTATTGAAAAAAAACTGGCGTATTTGCAATACTCACTTTCCATTTGGCACTTCTGTTAGGACCATTGCATAGATTATTCATAAGCATTACACCTAAAGAAAATTTCCTTTATACCATGTCTAAAGTAGACTTCTACTCCACTAATTATAAAATTTTATCATGAACTTCAATAGAGAGATATTTTGTTTGGGTCTCCAGTATCATAGCTCAAGTATACTTTTCAAAAATATTTTGAAAATTAAACCCCTCCATCGATTTCGAATGAACGTCTTTCTGAAATGTTCTCGTTACCCGAATAGTAGGTTATGAAGTTTCTATCTTTCAGTTCGTTTTCACCACCATGGAGTAACGCACAGCTATTCCGTCACATCTCTCAGTGCGTACCCACTAGTTTCACTCAAAGTCCCACCTAAAACATACTGTTCTCAAGGAGAACATGATATTGGTGGAGTTTTGTTCTCTGAGCTGGATGGTTTGGTCATTGAGCTTTCATCGTTCTTCTGAACGACATCATCAGCACAAATTTCAGATAGAAGTGAAGTGTTCGAATTTCTCCATATGTGTTTCACAGCTTGTTCTGTGCACCTCGATGTTGATTGGTTCTTGTTGACCTTAAATTTATCATTGTTTACTTCTTTGTTTCGGTTGTGTCTCTCATTGGTTTGATTCTTGTTCCCATATTTATGCATGATTTTCCTGATTGGTTGATAAATTGGATCGATTTCAATATGTTTGTTGATTGCTGATTGACCTGAGTGCCAGGCTTCTAAAAATTCTTTGGTATTTTTGGAGTTTCCTGTCTAAGATTTCTACATTTTTCCAATCGAATGAGTGTCCGTAGTTATCCACGTGTATTGATAT